TGGAGAGGAGGCAGCCGGGATCACAGCTCACCCACAGGGTCCTGGATGTGCTGGAAAACGCACTGCACCAGGATGTGAGGCAGGGGCTGGGGCAGGCCGGGGTGCTGTAGGGACTCTGGTTTGGGCCATGCATGTGCGCTCAGCCAGCAGACGGTGCTACCAAAGGCCGGAGTACTGCTTCGAAGCATGGGCCATCTGGCCAGCTCGGGTGGGTTGGTCACAGCTGCTCTGCTGGAGAGGAGACGGTGGGTGGGTGAGGATGAGGGTGACATGGATGGGCTGGGGTGGGGGCAGTGAGGGCACTGCAAGCGGTGAGCTCAGAGGGGTCCCCCACCCTTGCAGAACCAGAGAAGGGAGAAGTTTCTGGGTGCTGCCACACCAGGAGCACACTGGACGGCAAAATGCTGTTGTAGTGCAAGGAGAGGAGCAGAGAGGCTGCATGCGGCCCCAGGGGATGCTGCTGCCGGCAGGTGGAGAATACCCTGGGTGCCTGCAGCCCCTGGCTGCCCGGGGAATGCTCTAGGACAGGGCAAGTGTCCTCCTGCTCCCTGGAAGGGGACTCGGTCACAGCAGACCAGGACTGCACTCCAACAAGCAGTTTCTCCCACCTTTGTTGTTCGAGAAGAAGTTTATCTTTACAAAAGTAAGCAGCCACTCTTGCCTGTCTGGAGAACTAAAAATGGGAGGTCTGTTCCCAAAACTATCAACCGTATTATTTTAAACCATTGTGTGTTAGACAAACTGTTTGGGTTTCTGTTTCTGCCACCCAGGTTCAAGCACGCTCAAGCTATCTTCTCCAGCTACTTTTGTTCACTGCAGTCAGGAGGCGCTGGCACATCTCTGTTGTGAGATACCACTGGCACCCGTTAACAGGACTGTGTGCCTGGGAAGTTAAGGGAATTGCTGGCCAAGACCATCCCTGGGACACAACTGGGAACCAGTGCCACTGGCAAAGTTTCCCCTTCTCCCTGTGTATCTGGAAGTCCTCGCCTGGGCTATGCTGTCTGCTATCCAGGAACTCAACCTTCGTAAAAGTAAACTAAGAAATCCTTTTCCCTCTTCCCAGAGAGGAGGGGGTTGCAAGCCCCACGCTTGGGGGGGCAGGTAAAAATGGCAGGAGGTGGCAGTTCAGCCTTGCTCTGCAGGGTGGAGGGGCCAAGAGTGGCTGCGGGTGCATTTGCCTTCCCCAAAAAGCGTCTGCAAGTGGGTTTGCATAAGTGTGAGCTGCACCAGTTCTGGGGGAGCAGAGCTGGTGCTGAGGGGGAAGATGTCTGTGTGTGAAGCC